TACTCATATTCGGCCAGACATAACTGTCTTTTATAAGTTGTTGAGTTCCTGATATTCCTGGATGACACAAATTATGAGTTAGGTTGATAATACGATATCGTAATGAAGTTGGAATATATGTTCGAGGTTTGCCAGCAAGGCTGACGTCACAAATAATGTTTCCCGCCAATCCTGGGACTGGAAATTGTACTAACTGTAGAGAATGCTTGCTTGCGTTCGTTAAAAGTTGCTTTAGCTCGTGGTCGTTTTGTTGTGCGTTATAGATGTCAGTTAACGGGATAATTTCCTGTTGAGGTACAATGGCATTTATTCCACCATGCTCTGCGGGGTGAATTTCAATTCGGCTCAATGTGTCCGCTGCGATATTCAATGCACCGGCAATGTGTTTTACTGTGAAATCGAAAGTTGATATGTATTCAAGCTGACGGGCCTCCCGTTGGATTAATCGCTCTTTCGGACTTTGAATAGCCTGTACCAGGCTTTTCGAGTCTGAGATTAATTGAAATTTTCTTCCTGTCAATTCATGCCGAAAATATTTGATAGATTCAAAAATAGCCAAAAGTTCCTTGCCAAAAGTAGAATAAGTTTTCTGGGGGCCACGAAGAGCTCTCGAAAACATGCCCAGAGGTCTCCATTGATTATTTTCAAACATTTGCAAAACACCTGATATTCCAATGTCAGATGCATCAGTAATTAAAGAAATGGGTGCTTGATGATGTGGATGAACCAACAGCGTAGCATTGGCTAAAGCATGTTTAATGTCATCAAAAGCTTTCAAAGATTCATCATTCCATTTGATTCGAGAACGTTTACTAGGCTTCCCAACTGTCATCTCATTTAAAGGTCGTATAATGGTAGCAAAGTTCTTTACAAAACGATTATAATATGTACAAAGACCAATAAAAGATCTTAATTCTCTCAATGTGTTCGGTTGAGGATATTTTTGCAATACTTCCACCTTGTCGGCTAAGGGTTGTATTCCTTCGGGCGTAACATGATGGCCTAAGAATTTAATTTCTGATTTGTTGAAATGGCATTTATCTGGATTTATAGTAAGTCCATAAATGTGTAAGCGTTCTAGAACTTGATCTAGTGTTCTGAAATGTTCTTCCTCTCTTTTGGTTGCAATGAGAATATCGTCGAAGAATACAAATATATTGTCGATGTTCGCTAAAACTTCGGTCATGAAATAATTGAACGTCGCTGGGGCAGATGCTAGCCCGAAACAAAGAGTTTTAAACATGTACATTTTATTGTTGCAGGAAAAGGCTGTTTTTGGTTGATCCGATTCCAAGATAGGAATATGATTATAAGCTTTTGTGAGATCAAGTGTAGTGAAATGTCGACAGCCATGCAATTTATTGACAAAATCGTACAAGTGTGGCACGGGGTGTTTTTCCTTGATCGTGATTGAATTCAAAAGTCGAAAATCGAGGCACAGCCTGATAGCATTAGAACCCCGCTTTGGAACGATGGTAACTGGAGAATTATAAACGGAATTACATGGAATTATATCTCCTAAGGCTAATAAAGTTTTAATTTCTTGTTCCACAGAAGCCTGTAAGTGAAAGGGTACTCTTCTTGGTTTGGCTGAAATAATTTGTCCATTTGTTTGTATTCGATGTACTGTATTGTGTTTAAAGCGAACAGATGTATGTTTAGGAATAGTAATATCTTCATATTTCCGTAGTAAGTTTGTAACTCGACTATCGTGGCTAGGTGAAATGAATGAAGCAGCAATTGTCGGCATAAAGGTTCTCCTGCCTTTAATGTAGTGTTGAGAGCGTGGATTTTTCAATGTAGCTGAACCCACATCGAGTAATAAGTTGTATTTGGTCAGGAAATCAATGCCAATGATAGGGGTTCGCACTTTCGCGATTTGAAATTCAAAGTTGTAGGTAAGACCATCTCCAAGATCAAGGGTTAACAAACGAGTCCCATACCATGGTATCTTCGTACCATTGATGGCATAAAGGGAATGACTAAGTGGTTTCTTTATAGGTATAAAATCAGCTGGAATAATTGAAAGAAATGACCCAGAATCGACAAGAAATCGACGTCGACTCGATTCATCAATTATGTACATAAGAGAAGTTGGTTGTTGCCATGCTGAGTTTGATGTTGCACAGATTCTTTCGGGTTTTCGACAACTTTGACCCGATCTTAGTGAAAATTTTGAGGAGCCATGGCACATCCTACACCTTTGCATTTGTAAGCTTTGTCGCCAAAAGTCGCGTGATAGTAACAGAGATTGGGGTCCGTGTTTTGTTGAGAAATGTTCATTGGCGGTCCATTATTGTGTCGAAAAGGCGGACCGTGAAGTTCCGGGGGTGGACCACGATATTGGCGATCGCGTCTAGGCGGTCCTCTCAAATTGTTGTATCTCTGAGGTGGTCTGTCCTGGTAATCATTGCCTCTCTGCTGACGGTTGTAATTTGAGCGGTAGGTTTGCTGTTTTTCCTGTGTAACCTTGTCTAACTGAGTTTTAAGCTGTTTCATCTCTGCCAACAACTCTGAATAAGCTCTTGTGTCAGATTGTGGTGTTGTTTTAGAATTAGTAGCAACGCCTGATGCGGAATTTGTATCCCAGAATGTTTCTGCCATGTCTACAATTTGACTCATGGAGCGTTTTGTTCCACTTTTTGCAAAAAGTCGCCTTACGAAAATCGCCACTGGTTCTGGTACAAGTTGAACAAAATAAAACCGTAATATTTGCTCCGGAATCGGGTTTTTTGAAGCGTGAAAATCTAGTGTACGACAAATTAAGCTGTATATTTGGGTAGGTGTCATATTCTTGCATTTAGGGCCTAACGCCTCGATTTGGTCGATGAAATTCAACTCGAAAATTTGTTTGATAGCGTCAATAAAGTTATCATAATCATCCTTCGTTATTTTAGTGTCTCGATCTGGCATAAACTCCTCCATTCTAGCATACTGGTCTGGCGTGAAACTCTGAATTACATATTTGAGTTTAAAATCAGGATCGATGATTCCGAAATATGTGAATGAAGCAGTAATATTATCAATCCATTGCCTGACAGCGTGCTCCCAAATAGGCTCGCGTTTGTTCGAGGTCAAAAATTTTATATAGTTATCAGGCAACATAACCGTCTCCGTATTCGAAGAGGTGGAAGAACTGGATGAGCGCGGTGTAGGGTTCTCAGAACTGACATTCTCTGTAGTTATTGAAGATGTAGAAGAGCTTGATGATCCTGGTGTAGTGTTCTCAGAAGAGATATGTTCTGTAGTTGTAGGCGAAGATGTCATTGTGCACTGTGTGGTTTTGCGTGAACGAATTTTAGTAGTTTGTATTGCTACACTTATCCTTTGTGGTTGAGTTTTAAGTGAGGTTGAATCAGAACGTCTGCTTTCTGAATCTTGCTTTTGTTTAAGGCGTTGCGACTGTCTGGTACTTGACATGCGTAACACTAAAATCTAGCGGCGACGGAACGCAACGAACGCATAAAGTGTGTATCTGGCATTCCTATATAAAAATTACACATTACAGTAAAAAAAACAATATATAATGTTCGTTTGAATCCTTTGTCCGTGAAAACGTCTCGAGAATAAATATGAAAAGGTATTTACTTGGAAAGGCTGCTGTCTTCATTGTTGAATTCCTGAATTGCCATCATGAAGTTGATTTTCCAGTTGTTGAATTGATTTTTCCAACTTGTTGAATTGAATTTCCAAGCGGTTGCGTGGGCTTACACGTCGGAGGTCATCAAAATATAGGGAGAAAGAGATGAGATGTTGATGGGATAAAGACTATCACCCTATATGTTTAAGTTCGATTCCCGCGTTATTGTTTTGACACGCGTTATGGAATGTGACTCCAATCTGGACTCCTTCAGACGATAATAAGCACACAGTGTTGATGCTAATCGTTGTTGTATATTATAGGAAGATGCACAATCCAAATTCCGAAAACAGATAAAATTGAGACACACTTAACTCTTAACACAGTAAATCAGGAGTGAATCAAAACACCTCACACTTAACGCAGTAAAAACAGAAGTGGGTCTAAACACAATATTATGCAGCCCTCTCGGCAAGCCGGAACGATACGTCATCAAATTGGTCGATACGAGAAAGGCAGTACATGTAATCAGTAATCAGTGTTGCTACAATAAAATGACCTATTGTGGGAAATGGAACACACTATTAAAATGAAAGGGTTAAATACATTATAATTCATAGTTACATAATGCACATTCGCTACACAGTAACCACAAATTTTTATTTTTATGTCGGCAAATGGCCGATGTATTTTAAAATTGTGAATTGTGAAAAATTGTTTTGTTTTGTCGACGCAAACGCTGGTTAAATTGAAGACAATTAAATTAATAAAGCAAGACATTTTAAATATGCCCTTATCGGTCACGAATTGATTACTTTGCATAACAGAAAAATCATTTTTCGTTGTAAACGTCGGCTCTTTTAACAAGTGGCGCAATCGCGGCGATGAATATGTATTTTTGATTCAACGATATACTTCATATGCATTTTCATTGCACGAAATAAAATTGTACTTTTCGGGATTTTACATCAGTTATTGAGATTTTTCTAACGGCGATAACGAGTTGGCAAGATTCCAAAAATACGTATTAAAATTAAATACACCTATTTTTATGTCCACCGATCGCCGTGGCATTTCAGAGAACTAATGTTTTAATTTTGACGTAAGAAGAAGCAACCGCGAGTTACATTGGACACAATTAAACTAATATATAAAGACATTTTAGAATTTTGTAGTTGTCAGAGATTGAATACTTCACGCGACAAGAATAATCATTATACGCTGAAAAGACGTCCCTTTATGATTATGAACCCCCCCCCCCCCCCCCTTTTGAAAATCCTGGCTGCGCGCCTGTTTACACCTCAATGGTCGCCATAGGTTTGGCCGTAGCATCCATGATATGGAAATACCGCCATGGTTTTGCGGCAGCTGCAGACGCCACAGAATACCTAAAACTGCACTTTCCATTTCCAAAGCGTATCTTGTCGACAGGTCGTAGAAGACTGAGTCTGAAGGCACTATCATGAGCTAGTGTGCCCCAGTTATGTCTGTAGACTATATAAAATTATGCCAAGTCTAAATGAGATTTTATGTATGTATAATTGAATTTTTCATATTTTCGAAATGCACAGTTGCTATGTAGTATTCGGTGCCATTTATGTCAGTACCGGTATGTCATGATTTCATAGTGCTCGGCTGTTTAAATGGATGGTTCTGAAAAGCAATATTGTAGCTGTGTGGCTCGGCTGCTGACAAATTCAAAAGAAGATTTTATGAAAGCTGCAACAGTGCTCGTTAAAATTGCAAGGAACATCAAAAACAACCCAGGTGTCGAAAAATATAAATCGATTCAAGTTGGCAGTCGTACATTCATGGAGTCTCTTCTTCCCATTGATGGAGCAGTCCAGTGCCTGTTTGAAATGGGTTTCATAGAATCAGAAAACAAGTTTATTTATACCAGCAATGACTCTGTCTATTTGACCGAACTAAAATCTCAGCTGGAAAGTGCTTTAGAAGAAAAGCAAAATTTAGAGCAACCTAAAGTTACAAATTCAACTAAAAAGAAAGAAAATGTTGAAACATCTTTACAAAATATCATATTATCTGAAACTCAGACTGATAGTAAATTGTCCTCACATTTTCAACATGTTATGGTTTATGAGAATCCGGCTTTACAAGAAAAAGCTCGTTTCATAATTCCTATGGAAACCCTTGTGCAGAAAGCACAATCGAGACTCGCCACTAACCCAACTTTTGTAATTTCCCAAATTCACAAAAAGATGGAGTATGATGATTGCTTATTGTTAGAATTATTGGATTGGTTCAAAAATCAATTTTTTACTTGGACAGATGCCCCATCTTGCCCAACTTGTTTTAATGGCAAGTCTGTGTCAATTGGTATGCTTCCGCCAACATCAGAGGAAAAGAGATGGGGGGCTGGAAGAGTTGAAGGATATCGATGCACACAGTGTAATGATACGCTTAGATTTCCAAGGTACAATCACCCAGAAAAGCTGCTCGAAACTAGAACCGGAAGATGTGGAGAATGGGCCAATTGTTTTACACTTTTATGTCGGTCACTTAGTTTCGATGCTAGGCATGTTCTAGACTGGACTGACCACGTTTGGACTGAAGTATATTCAAAAGCAGCAGGCAGGTGGCTGCATTGTGATCCCTGTGAAAATGAATGTGATAAACCTCTTTTGTATGAAAAAGGATGGGGGAAGAAACTGTCTATAATAGTAGCTGCTTCATGTGATGAAATTGTTGATGTCACATGGAGGTACACTAGAAATGTTGCAGATGTATTGTCAAGAAGAAAACTAATTTGCAGAGAAGTGTGGCTTAGAGAAAAAATTTTGAAGCTCAAAAATTCTCGAATGAACCATTTATCTCCAGTGAGACGGAGAATTGTAGAGAGCCGTCAAATACAGGAGATGGTCGAGTTCTTGTCACCTAGGTTTGAAAGTCAAAGTGGGTTAGGTGGAAGAACTACTGGATCACTAGAATGGAGGGAAGCAAGAGGAGAAATGGGTAACATTTGTGCTGCAAACAATGTTCAAATTATCCCAAATGAAAAGGAGTTGGCAGATAATATTATTGAATTGAAATATTTTTCTACTGAAGATCATTATATAAGAAAGTCTCTTTCTGAGCCAATTCCAGGCTGGCAATCGCTTGTTAATTCACATGCTCATATTCAAAGGAAAGTTGAAAGTGATTGGAAAATGGTGTATTTAGCTCGTGCTGAACACAGTAAAAAAGCCCATTTATCTTGGAAAATTAACCTAACACAACTAAAATCTGATATTGTTATAAAGGAGATAAAATTGAGAATAAAGCCAACTGTATTCCAATCGGGTTCTGTCAAATTTCTCATCTGCACAGATAGCCATACGATTCCTATCAAAGAAACTGTTTCCCTCACACATGAGGTGTTCGGGACTACTGCTATATCTATCCATGCCTTTTTATCTGGCGGGGAAGGTGATAATGCTTGGCAACATACTCAATTATTTCGTGACTCGTTAGATTCTCCTAATAGAGAGCCCCAACTAGATATTATTGTTACACTCGTCAAAAAAGCATGTAGTTGAATGAATATATGAAAATATTCCAAATATGTGATAATATTCATCGTCATGGATGAGCAGTACATCTTGTGAACTTGTTTCTACATTGTTCTTATCAAGTTCCAAGATTCAACTAATTAATCAAGACATCAGTGCAATAATTTACAAATGTATCAAGAGTATGTGTGGTGACATGTATTTATCGAATTTTTTAAAACTGTTTACATGCTTTTGGATATTGTTGTGTAGAAGTTCTGTTGAATGATCCCAGCGAAATGTCAACGTTGTTGGGAGTCCGACTATCTGACCGCATAAAGCAATGTTTTATTCATACATATGCACTCTAGCTCGGCGTGTACATATTCATATTTACCAAGTTATCACTAGTGCAAATGTCCCTTAAATATGTTAAAGTTGAATACAACTGATGTGTAATTATAGCCATGTATGTGGTATGTTGAGGATGGTGATGCATTCTACATAATAAATACCCGATAACCATGCATGCGTGTGATGTTATGCCTACAAAAACGGAAGTGAAGTTTAAACTATACGCGAGAGCAAATCTACACGACACAACAGACAACCACTGAATTGTGATAAACTATACATTCAGAATGAACAAAGGTAACCCAATGACATAATTTCCTAAGTGAGCACGTCGCTGAAACATCCATCCACTAACTTTTTTGCTATATCACCGAACCTATACCTGCTATTTAGAGATCGACAAATCTGTTAAATCAATAAAACAACCGCAGTTCCGCTGGATTATGTTACTGGCTAGCATGGGGGAATCAAAGTTACCATAAGACGGTACAGGATGTGTAGTACCAGGCTGTACAGCGGTATATCTGTATACACCCGATTAAAATGAGACCGTATTGCCAGCCTTCATACCTAAAAAATAACCTGAACCTTTTATCTTCACCTCGATACTCTGTACGTAAACACAATATATAGACCACTCCTCTTTCAAATTTATTCCAACACCACGTTGCAAAGTTTAAAACAACATAGGTTTTCTTGTGGTGAAACGACGAGCATTTTGCTGTGATTTGCTTAGCACACGTCTAGGCATTGGAAACCGGATCTTGGAATCATGAAATTGCTTAACATTTGTTCTTCTGCACTTTGAAGCAGCAACTTCCTCCACTTTCATGATCTGGATAGAACCAGGTCGTGCTCTGTGACGAGCACCCATGTCTCTGTAACATTGGGTGACTGCACTTGCCACTTTGACATCTCTGTATTCCCTGTACATATTGTGAGAACCACTTCTAGAATCGTAACGCAGCCATATTCCAAAATTTTTCACTCGCCCTGGAGATTTCTCCGTCATTTTTGAGCATTGTAAAATTTCCCCAGCATTCTTCTTAATTTTCTTATAATAAGAAAGATAGTACCAGAATCTGCTCTTTGCGGCGATGTGGTCAGGAGCGAACAACCTCATACGAAACAGGGGAGGATTTTTTTCGGTCTCGCTGGGCAATTTTCGCCCAACAACCTTATATTCCCTAAGTTCTCCCTTCGCCTTCATGTCGACAGCTCAGGCAAGTTTCCGAAAAGACCGTGGTGTGTGCGATGCCTTGTAGTCTCAAATCAGCCCAGATCTACCAAGCGTGACAAAATGCATATATTTTTGAGAGTGTTTTGAGGAGTCGGCGCTTACATACTTGCTCACATGTTCAAATACATCATTTCTATCCAAAACAATAAACCACATGTCGCTTATAGGTACTGATAAAAAGAGAGGAAGAGTATATTTCATTTTGTTAAACCAAGATATACAAATATCAAATAAACAGATGTTTCGGTACATGACTGGGAGGCAACGATACGGCCTTTGGGGGTCATCAGGGTCAGCTGTAACACAATTCAATTAAATAAGCATAAAAATAACAGGTTCGGTGTCAATATATCAAGACCTCCCAGGTTTATTCACTTTATACACTATTTACATGTCTATTACTATTTTCTTATATTAAAGTGTTCTTTTAAATAAGGAATTATCCACATATCGAAATAAGTGGGAGCGGTGTACGGGCAAGATAACTTGTATACTTTTAAATAAATATAGGTTAAAACATATCAAACAGGATTATGAACATGCAAACTATTCTACTATACACATACCGGTGCAGTATAATCAAAAGCACAGGTTAATCATCGAAACAAATTTGATTTTGGTTTAAACATTAAGCATTTCTTTGGTCAGAGCCATTCATGCAAGTGCTGTAGTAAATTGTGGACTTTGTATAATTTAAGATTCAATATAATCAATACATTCGATAACGAAATATCAATCAAGTGAATGCGAAAACACATAAAAATGATCGAAACGAAATGGGTGGGAAGGCAGGGCGAGATACCAATTATTTGGGTAACTTGTATTCTAATGGATGAAAACAGAACAAGCAGGATTTTGAACATGCAAACGAGAGATGTGTTTCATTCTACTATACACATTCTGGTGCAATATAATCACTACTGAGGCAAAGGTGGGATCATCGAAACAAATCAGATTTTTAGTGTGAAATATGCATTTCTCTGGTCTAGGCCATTCTTGCAGATATTGTAGTAAATTGTAGACTTAGTTTAAATGTATAATATTAGATTAAATTTATTCAATACAATTGATATTGAAATATCACGGAAGTGAATGAAAAAACCCAACAGTTGGCAAAGGGTTGGCTTAATATAGGAATAAATAAGATGCAACATTATATAACACTATGTGAAATGATTTTGAACACTTTAAATATAAACATTAACAGAACTTGAGCAATTCATTAGTCCAGGCCGTTCATTCAAATTTTTGCAGTAATTAGTAATGGTTGGTTTAATTTATCAAAGATTGAACAAGGAGCTCAATGAAGATGTATTGAGATATGATTAACAGGTCGAAAATTGATGAAAAAGAGCTATTAGATTGGCATATTAACTTGTTAAATAGAAAATAAAGAATGTAACATTTTATAACACGATTTGGGACTTGGGATTTTATGCTAGTACATCGCGCAGTTTGTGGTATCAATTTTTGAATATTGTAACTAAACTAAAAGTTCCCAAAATACATAAACGTGTATACATTTGCAGTATGGCGAACAGATTGACTGAAAAAACGGCCATGTCTTGTCATATGATTAATCGGGATCATCTCTTCACCTCGTCCCCAGGATGTGTATAAAATTCTAATCTTCCGTAGAGACTGACATGTTTACATTGCAGAGAACAATGTTATCAAATTTATTTCTGCGCTGAAAATTATCGATTTACAAATGCTAAGAAATAGTGTTTTTATACAAATCAATGTAATCAAAGCCACAAAGAATGTTTATCATTTTTTTGGCTCCACCGAAAACGCATTGCTGTTCAATATAATGAGAGGCAAAACCAATATTTCGATTACTCCCAATGTGCTCTACAACTGATAAAAGTAAGAATATTACGAATAGTGCTCGTGAAAAATTATTGTTTGACAAATAAATTTAATTTATTACGATATTCACCACTCAGTGATTGTTCATAAATTGATTGTGGAGAGAGATGTGATCACATTTCCATTAATTCCGAAAATCCAAATATCAAGTATTCTTTTTTTAAAACGAATAATTTAAAGAATTTTTATACTAACGAAGATGTTAACAATAGTGAGGTATTTTGCTGACGCTTTATAAAAATTTAAACTGGTCTGATGTTTTTCATCTTTGCAACATGCGAAACCAATATCTGATTCTTCAAGACTTAGGTTAAGCCCTGTGCATTTCACGTGAAACCATGGGTCGCAATCGTCACAATTAATCCAACGTGGTTCACTTGGACCACCTTCAAGCACATCTTTGCATTTACTACACTTATTATCCCCGTCTGTTTCGCTATGTTTTACGCTTACTTCCGCCTTGTTCTGCTTCTTTTTCTTATTGCCTTATACAACTTGCTTACTTTTCGTTAATTTCCTCTCATCTATATTATTTTGCTCCTGAATTTACTTCTTTTCCTGCATTGATGATTCTAATTTGTTTATTGCATCGTCTGACAATAAATCGAAAGGCAGTTTCTTACGGGCGGCTTTTTTCGTCGATTTCATTTTCACCGGCATTTCACGGAAAAAAAATTTTCTTGCCATTTTAGAACAATTCTTCTCTTTACAATAATTTCTAATATATATTTGTTTTTATTTGCTGCTCTTCCTCTCTTTTTATCTCTCGCTTCATAGCGTCCGCGTTTATTTTGTGTGTATATATATTTTTATGTTTATAAACTGAAATGTTGACCCTTATTCAATGCTGTTTTGTCGAATCTGTGAGAGAAAAACTATGTCATTCGCTCTCCTTTCTCCGGCCAACGGGCTGGAGGTCGGCGGCGTTCTGTTGTGTCCTCTGTTTTAAGTGTGAGATTGCCGCATAATAAACAAAATATCCAGAATCTGAGTTTTCTGATTCATTCAACACACAGTAGCAACACCTTTTAAAAAAACTGTGACATTTTCCATGCTATATAGAAGCCATCCTCGCTTATTTGATCTCTTTCATAGCGTTTTTTAAAATAAACTTTCTCTTATGTCGACATATTCATTTCTATGGCGTCCAATGCTTTTCTGGACTTTGTTATCACGTGTGATAATTGAGAATATAATTCATCAGTCGGAGAATGTAATTTAGTAAAATACTGATCTGGATTGCTGGTGTTTAGGTAAGCAACGACCTTGTTTAAGCCCCGAAGTTTATGAAATGTCTGCGGAAATGGTGGACGACAGAGATGGAGAAACAGCAGGAGTATTTGAAATGGTTGGAGACTGTGGAGACATGTTTTGAATATCGAATTGTTCAAGAGTTTGTGAATCGATAGAGTTGTTCAAAAAGTCTTCCATATTTATAGTAAGAAAATCTGAAGTTGGATTGAAATACAAGGGGCATAATTCCTCAGAGAATATCTATACTTCTAATTGCTCAGGGGGCGATATTTGAAGCGCTGGGTTTTGCTTTGCAGCACCTTCTAAGACCTGGGTGATTATTGTGTGAAGCAGCTGCCCATACATCTCTTCAACTGTTTCAGCGGTTTGGACGCCGCTCAAGTTTTGTTCCTGTGAGGCTGTTTGCGTGGTTGTTGAGCACTAGAAAATATCTATTCTGTTGGCAATGTGTCCCGGTGTTTTGCAATGTTTGCCGTTTGACATTCGAAGTATACGTGCCCTGCTGCTAGACACTTCTCACATGTTGGCGTGTATAACTCCCGTGGAAGGAATGTCTTGCACCTGATGCCATCCACTACTATTATGTGGTATGGCAAGCGGTCTTTTTTGAACTCGTCAATGAAGTGTACCGGTTATAAATTTGCGCCCCCCGGTGCCAATTTGTGATGGCATTTCTCACCGTTTCACAGCTCAGCTTGTTGATCTTCGTGTACGAGGTTTTGTCCGGAATTCCCCGTATAGAGATCCGAATTGGAGCTTTGCTCGGCAGTGATACGGTGATGGTGCTCTTAGTAGTTCGTATTTGCCCACCTGGGGAAGAAAGAAAGCTCTCCCGGCAACTGGAATTTGGGTTGTCAGTTGCCGCAAAGGTCAGGAACCAAGTTCCCGTGCGACCTTCGAAGAGCCCCTTGATTTGCTCGCAAAACTCTTCTGTTGACGCGTTGTTTTTGAGGACATCCATCATTGATGCAAAATCCAGGTCTTCGTCGATCCTTAGGAAGAGGGTCCGAGGTCAAGATGTTGCAGTTGGATCTTCTTCTGTTGCTCTGTTGCAGGAGTCGAGGAGGCGGCGGCGTAGTTCATCTTCTTCTTTGTCATCTGATGAATCCTTTCGCTATCAAAAGCCTAATCCCGGTGAAAGGGCTGCCTTAATCAAATAGCGAATAATAGAAGCTTTTTACTGAACATATCGATTTATGAATCACGTATTGCCTATGCCACACTACAAGTAGTCTAAATGTATTATTCGCTGTCCTAATAAGTATGTCATTCAAGACAGGATGCGATGCAAGTAAGACGCGATGATGGTATCGAAATTAACAACTTCGTTAGTGGAATTTGCCGTGGAAAGAAATGGACGACAAAAGTTAGGAATGGTTCACAAGTACACTTAAAATTTGTGGCAACGAAAAAACGGGTTTCGAATAAATTGGGCTACTTTGGCATCGTTGTACCTGCTGGCTACCTGTCATTACAATTTTAAAAATCCATTGGTCATATATTCATATATGGAACTGCGTTGCGCCCTGAAGCCTAAATTACAGCACATTACTTACTTCATAATCAAGAATTTCATGTAAAGACATTTGGAATTTATTTATTACTTTGTTGACACACTGCTCTGCGTATGTTTACCTCAATCAAGTTATTGTTTTGTCTAAATGGGCCCGGTGTTAACAAATCACAGATGTTGCAAAATACAGACCCAACATGCCCGCTTCGACATACCATTTTTAAACTGAAACTATGTTTACAGTGTGTTCTTCGCCCGAACAATACACGTTTGTGTGATCATAAGCTTTATATATATATTTATATATATATATACATATATGTGTGCGTGTGTGTAACATGGGTAAACTGGCACATGTATTTTTACGTGTTTTGAACCTTATTAGGGCCATTCCAAGCAAAAGTTGAATTCCATCAATTTTTTAAAAAGTGTAGTGAAATTATTTTTTTTTTACTTTTGATATCAAAAGACATTGGAATTTTATTGGACTGCATTCATTTCATTGAACAATTTAAAATTTCACCCAGGTTTTTGATGGTTTTTAAAAAATGGCCTGAAATGTATAAATTTTGGTATAATTGACATATTTTGTGATGATTCCTGACACAAAGTGTTTGATTGTGTGGTACAGTTATTTCATATGGAATTGACGCACTGGATTTGAATTAATGAAGTTTAAATGTTTGCAGTGCTGTAGAACATTTCTTCACCCATTTAACGATTTATTACCAGAATTTTAAGAGATGATAGATGCCGCTATTCCGAAGTGGAAAAATGTCCTGTAGTGTCACGTCCTGTAGTGTCACATACAATATGCACATTATTGGCATGGATTTACAGTGTTACATTAAGTAACTTGAGCAACACATAGAGGGGTAGTTCAGCTACTGCACCAGAAAATATTATGGGCTCCTACTGTACCATCGCGAAAATTTACAGCACAACACAACGTACTGTTAGTGCATGGTGGATTTGCCGTCCTGTAGTGTCACGCTATATTTTACTATATTTTTTTTATCTACCAAGTAAGGTTGGGTGTAACTTTTGTGCAATTTGTTACATATTCAATAAAGCAACTGATTGGACAATGAAACAAAACATGTAGCTGAAAATGTGAAAAATATATTGAATCTAACAACTTGCAAAATTTCTGGAATTGTCCCGTAGTGTCACTTGGAATAGCCCATTAGAGGTTTTGTTAGTTTTCCCAATATTTCTGTGTACTCTGTGTATTTTGTTATGTTATGCGTATGTTTTTGTGGGGAAATAAAATTAAGCTACGATAGAAATCACCAGTCAGTAATTTTCTACAATCTTTATCACCTCTGAAACATTCATAAAACTGATAAGGGGTTTCTCACCCCACATACATGCCTCGGCCTGTAGTAGTATGCACAACTTCAAGTCCAAACGACACGCTGAAACGCAACTGAGGAGCTCAGCAAAATATGAAAAATAATGCTTACTCACGATATCTTTCGAAAGTCGATAAACAAATAACGGTCGAAAGGTGGTCGATGCGCATGCGTCTTTAACCATTCTAAAATTACCAGAAAAGCCGCTAGGGGCACTGTTGTTCTGAAACGCAATACCAGCATTCGTACACTTACAAGGTAGTCGGTAAAATTTTGCAAATTAAGCTACTTGCCTTAGTCGATCGTCACACTTGAATTTTACCAAATGTTCATAACAGGATTTTTAATTACCAAAATATTTTGGTTTACAGGGTATTTGAGTTTTCTAAGAAGAAAGTCACCTTAGCTATCAACTGGCATTCCAAGTTGTTGTTTTGTGAACACCCATGAGCCTCCAACTAAGCCTTTTCTTTTAGGGAAGTAAACATAAAAGTTGCATTTATTTTCATTTTTTTGTTGTTTATGTATAGAAAATAATCAATTGTTTGATTAATAAAACACAAAAAACTGAAAAAAAATAAAGTAAATTACTTGTGAACTTGAAAAATCAAGTAGATCATATAAAAACATTGGTAGCTCGACGAGTTATTTTGCAAGATTTTGTTAACAATTGAAAATCACTTTGTTTAATGGAACCTAAATTACATGGTTGAATAGAATCTTTTTAGTTTTCTGAGTAATGCGTATTAAGTAAAAATAAGGTAAACCACGATACATTTTGCTTGATTCTTATATTTAGCTAATCCGTGTATTTTACGTATGTTACAAGAAGTACACCTTTAAAAACCATTGAATATTTAATCATTTCAGTCACACCGGGGAAACAATATGGGCAAAATCAATTATTTCTTTCAAAAGAATGTAAACTGCAACAACACTCGATTTAAAAAGTCGCAACAACAAATACTTTTGTTGTTGTATATGCTGTATTTTGGAAAACACATTTGCATTAAGAAATAGAAAAACTCAACAGAAACGTTTTAACAAATTTTTTAATATAAAAAATAGTAAAATTGGTAAACGCTTCAATACATGAACAATTTTTAGTGTGTTCCTCGCCGAAGTAAAATTGAAGAAGAGGGGTTGCATCGCATCCAATTGGTGTTTGTGAAGCGTTCGAATACGTACGCTTGTTTCCCACGACAAGTCCCAGTTTGTTGGTTCGTGATTTTAACGCCTCATCCAGCGAACCTTTATCTGCCCGGGTCCCGGTTCATAATTATTATTATTATCAAATGAGGACACCAAGCTCATTTACAGGCACATGTCTCCACTGACATATTAGTGTAAACTCTCAACACGACATTGCTATTTTCATCGAAAAACAAAACGGAAAGCGGCATAAGTTTGTCTGGAGCACAACAAGGCTCTGGAACTGTAGCCCCAGCCAGTCTCGCAATTGCTTGGACTATCGCGTGATTCGTTGTTCCAGTTTGCTGTAGTAAAACATAAAGGTATTATTAATTTTAAATATGCAACTGAATGAGTGATTAATTATGGATATGCTAAAAGATACCCCATGGAAAAACAAATAAATTAAAATTTGTATTTTTGGACGTCAAAGATGTTCGGATCAACAACAAAAATAACCTATATTCGCCCAAAGAACGCTTGCACGATGTCACGTAGCTAGTTTCACTCGTCATCTTATATCGGAAATTATAGTAAAATACCACAAGGGGTGTATGTATTATTGCCATTACAAAATAATTGTACTTTATTGCCAAGAATCTATAATTAAGTTACCTTCCCCACCTGCATATTCGATATTTCACAACGACCGCTGCAGTAATACGCTTCAAATGTTGTTGGCGAAATGATCCAATCCGACCAACCGATCGAAGCGAAATCAACATTCATTGACTTTCTTCCACAGTCTTCGTCCCGTTCTACTGCCGATGGATGAAGCGGAACTTTCTTTTGCTTTTTCCGTCCCTTGCTGGACTTTTTACAGCCACGCTTTCCTTTCTTTTTTCCGTCATTGCACTTTTGATTTCTCCTCCGCTTTCTACCCGACTTTTCATTGGAAATGATATTTTTAATTTTTGTTACATTTTTACCCTTGCGATTTTCGGATTTTGTTTCACTATCATATTTTTCTACCACTTGGGGTGTAGTTTTTTGCATCCTCCGAGTGGAGCCATGGTTGTTTTCGTCATATTCGTCCACAATACGATTATCGACTTCATCCTTGGCTATATCCTGGGGTTCAGAACGCCGAACCTGCAAAGAATTTTTTGTTTTATCAACAGATACATTTCCAACGATATAGCGGAAGTAAATCTTGGCATTTTACAGGTCGTTCGCGACTTCGCTGAGTGCGCGTGATCACGCTTCAAGCAAATACTATTAAAAAAGTATATATTTATATATGCATTTTTGTGTATACTGAATCCAAGTAATATACTTACCCTTTTTTTAAATAGATTTGTCATATTTTCCAGTCTTCTCCATATAATGGAAGGCGCGAGTGACGGGGTGTCCTTTACAAGGGCTGTTCTAGAATCGTTGCAGTATATGATCAAAATCGGCGTTTCCGGGCTGTGATCAAAATTTACGTCGAACCATTGCTCTTTTAAAGAGGAACCAGAAGAATCTAAGTTGTCTTTTGCTCTATTACTGCTTCTCTTCAGTCTCTCATTTTCGCTGATCATGAATTGTAAAGGCAAATCATCGCCGGCGCTTTCTTTCTCAGTGTGCCGAATTTGACGCGATAAACTTTCATCCGGTCTATTCTCAAATCTCACAATCAGAAAATGATTTCGGTCTCTTGCCTGTGTTGCAAGTCGAAGCAGGTTACGGGCTGACCAGGATGCAACTGCATCAAAATTCAATGCAGTGGTGTTTCCTATTCGATGAAAAATCTGAAAAAAAATTGAATTTAAGACAAATAAAATTTTTTGCCAATGATAGGCCCACTTATTTACACTGTAATCAAAATGTATTTCATCCAAATATGTAAGTCATAAAACCTACTAGTAACTCACAAACGTACCTTGGATGATACGCTACAATCAAGCCCATCCGCACAATCGTTTGAGTCGATTTTGTAAACACCAACGACGATATTCAAGTTCTGGAGTGATGTTTCGTTCTGAGTGTTTTCGATATTATGTTGATTCATCAACATTGCTGATCTGGTCATGCCATCTAAACGAATTTCAGCTCGAACCAAAGTTTCGGGTCTCGGAATAGAGCTAAGATTGAATAGGAACACAGGAAATGGCGATTCATATCGTTGAGTCTCCGTTGTCTGTTTGCTGCCGTCAGTGGCGCCTGTGTTGGCTTGAACTGGTTTTATAGTCACGGCCTTCCGTATTTTTGAACGTTCGCTTGGATCGGCTGAAATAGAAAGTAAAGCACAACATTAATAGTAGAAATTAGAAGCATATTTATACAGTTTAGACTTTAACGGCATTTTTATTTGAACGATATGTCTGATATGCGCAATAAAATATTAATACATTTCCTCTCCTCTTCGCAAATTGGTGCTCAAGAGCTGGTCAAAACCCAGGATAAAAGCAGCGATTATTGGTAGCGAGTTTGTCAAGATAAATTTGTTGACCGCGAGAATCGGACTAAGTAAGGGTCGCAATACGGTATGATTGATCATGTTTTGATGGCACAAATATAATTATTTCTGACAATGAAATGTCCGTGAACCAGCGTGACAGATAGCCGGAGGGTGGACTTAGTTGTATTTTGATGCATCTGATCAAAATACAGTTTTTTCATATTGATAACTAAACAGGTGGCCAAGATCGTGCCACTAAGAAAAACAATTTCTGTCGAAATTAAAGTGATAAAATATGGCATAACATAAATTGTTTTTATGACTTGATGTCGCAACCCGTCGTAGGTCACCACTTCAAGTACGGCATGCACAGGTGGTCTATCATTCGTCTTATGGATTTTAATCTTTGAATTAGATTTTGATTTTAATCTGACAAGGAGAATTCGTTTTGATATGGTGATCCTATTTGTTTTAGTTTCGAGTTTTAGAACGATATCTAACCAGTTTTTTTTTTACATTTTAATAGTTCGATTGCTAAGAATGCTATGCATCCAGCTGTTTTGTACGTTCCACAATAATTTCCAATTATGTCAGTATAAATAGTAAATCCTGGACTAACACCACATAAGGAACATTCTATACACACACACATGAGGCTAATATACCAATATAAAACTTGTTTGGTGCCATAGCAAAGCAGGCTATACCGCAATTTGTTTTCTACCTGAAATAATGATTAAAATAACTTCATTTTAATCGCCGCGGACTGCTCGTCTTCATTCGTTATTTTGTGGAAATCATTTGACATTTTGCTTGATTTATCTTTGATTCGTTATTTACATACCAACTACAGAATCGTAAGTCGTAGTGAGATGCAGTACAAATTTGAACAGTTCAACGTGTTTTAGAATAAAATTATGAATATATTTGATTTTGGCTTCAAACCATTTGGCCTCTTCGTGTGTACCCTTCATTTTTGTGGTCTATAAAATTTAGTTAACATTAGCGATATCGACTGCTCATATGGAAAACAGGTGGGATGGAGGTTCACTAACGATGCAAGGTTGTCGAAATCATGACTGATTAACGACAAAATGCATATTTCCCGTTCACTATACTTAACAGGAAACGATATAGAAAAACAACAATTTGTAAAAAAAGCTGTCTGGGTGAATTTGCCCGGACAGATTTGGCAAACGCATACTGAATTCTACAATCATATCTGAGATTGTCGTAGAAATATAGTTTATATCCCGAATCAATTCTTTTTAAGCCTTCATTTCTATAATTTCTCATCAACAAGCGGCAAGGTAGATGAACAAAAATGCAATGAGCACCAGTTGTTAATACGCTCTAAATTGTATATATAGATTAATGGACAAGTGCAAATGAGGGTTACACCAGTACTTTGGCTTTCACGCCTGCGGATTAATCACCGTAAATTTTATCCGGTCAATTGGTAAATGAATGTTTGCTCACGCTTCAAATTTTGGTGTGGACTGATATTTTCATCAGCATGTCGACAAATAACCCCCGTACGGATCATTACTTGAGTTTCTAAGTTGATCGTGACGGATTTCGTATGGTCGATCGCAGCTTTGGGTCGCAGGTGCCGAAATTAATATGCGTTAGCGATCCACGGGTGTCAAAAACAAAGATAAAAATTATCATCGTTACTGGTGAAACTAAATTTGAAAGCTGTTTGTAAAATACAAAAACGTATCGCTGGAAACCGAATGAAACAGAAATTTCATAGATTCAGAGTTCGAAAGAAGAAATTACACTGAAATTTGTACTCTGTCCAAAACACTAATTTCAGTAACACATATGAAAATGTAGCGACCAACTCGTACTAATGCCTATCACAAATAGATTTGTGAACTATTTTCCATTGAAATGCGCCTAGATATTTAAGAATACTGGCAGATTTTGTTTGTCCTAAAAATCAATAATTCCCAAAATCACTTTATAAACTTGCTGACGAGTAAAAGATAAGTAGTTGAAGCATATAAGAAATTTTCAGATATGTAGGAGAGCTGACCCGATAAAGCAATGCTTTTCTCAAACTTGAAAACATAAATTTAACATACCATAATATTGAGCCTTATTTTGTTGCACATTGTTTCACAAATTATTCCCAAACCACGACCAGAAGAAGTAAGCACGGATGAAATATAAATAACTATATTAAAACGAGTCCAATCGCCATATGTGTAAAGGTGTTATGTACTCGTATAAAATTTGTATTTTATCCTTTATGGCGTATTGCGATGCCGATTATTTGGCTTAAATTTCAGAACGTCTTAATTCCGTTTTAATACTCCATTTTTCTTTTCGTTCAATTCTCTCGCACACCTGTTCGTGAGGTACTCATCATCGATAACCGCAAGATTATTATTTCAACTTTTTCAAGGAGATTAAAAAAAGCCGAAGATAATCTGCAAGTTAGAAACCGCGGTCTTAGTCGTGTACCGAGTTAGAATATAGAAGGTAACTACATATGGCAAATCTATAATATACAGATTTATAAATATTATCACAAGCCTACGTTTTCATATTCTTTCATATACGGAAATTGTGTTTTCGTGAAGCGTATACACGCACATAAGTGTTTACAGTTTATTCAAAATGTCACAAATGCAGTTTTGCTAATTCTAGGACGAAAAATACTTTCGCTAAAAGGACGACATTGAGGTTGGTGGCAACAAATAGTATGGTAAAGCATAAACATTGTGTTTGCGAATATTTTTAAAAAACAAGTTTGAAATTTTTGCCAAGATCATTCAAACATGGGGCGCGGATAAACAGTTTCAGTTTCATCACAGAATATCAACAGATATTTTATGATCGATGATAATTTAGTAATCCAATTTTCGTTAAATTGTCACCATCGCACCTGGACACATAATCATCTTTGGTGACGTAAACCGACCTGAAGTAAAATCAATCTTTTGATCTTTGACTTTTGAATTGACGAAAAATATTGTGCCAGAGAATTAATATTCGTCGATGAAATTTCGCCCATTTTGGTTCGCATTCTCGTAATCCAATTATATTTTCAATTTATTCATGGGCTATATTCGGAATGAATAGTATCAAAGCAGTTCATATGTGGCTCTTATATGATAAGATATCACGCGAAGATCATTCATACCTTGACAAGACTCAACTCAGAAGACTGATTGACGGCACACGCTCCAAAACGCAAGAACACCTGTTCCGATGATCGCCCAGTTTTCTCTTATTAATTCAGAATTTTTTGGATTCCAAATTTGGGGTAAATAACGCCACGCTTCTAGCTCACTGTTTTGCAAACATCTCGTGGCTCTCGGAAAGCAATGAGGTGTGAAAACAAATTCAAGCCTCATTGAATTGATAAGATCGGGTACTTAGATACTACCGGCGGCGGATTTTTGCTTCTGTTGCCGCTAAAGGCAAATCTGTTTTACGACGATATTCAAATCCTCAACAGAACTCGTATACAAATTGGACAATAAGTTCATCGCGCGATATGAGAGCATATAAAATCAATTGAACATTTGAATACATTTATATTTTATGTGTCTTTTTGCAAAAAAAAATGAGCATCGTAAAAATACATGATCTGTAAATGCTATTGCCGACATCGGACCTGCGTAACATAAAACATAAGTATATGTCAATGTTGTTTGTGATGTCACTTTGCGGTGAAGATCGCGGCAGGGTCAAAATTAGATATTTTTATTCGACCACACCTTTTCTCATTCACCTGCGTTCATCTGCGCACTTTCGATAGGATGTGGCTAACCCCACCAATCCCAATTGCTGTCATATACAGTCTGTGGGCCTTGGAAGATATTTAGTTTTTGAACGACATCTGGCTTGAGTTTAGGTACCACTCAGTGAGGAATTAAGGTTTTGAGCACTGAATGAGAGGTTACAATCGTATGTTAAATATACACCTTTGTAAACAGATAGGGGTGTAACCTAACTATTGAAATGGTGCTAAATATATATATAATATAGCAAGTGAAGATACTTATTACTGTCCTTCACAAAATAATCAAAGAGCAAAGTTGATGGATTGGGCTATAGTGAATGTTTATTACCATTTTTTTTTTCGTAAATCAAATACCTGATCATAAATTTCTATACCATAAAACGTATGAGTATGATCGATTTTAGAGGAAAAATCCTTTACTCGAAAACTTATCTGATAGCAGAAAATAAATGTGGGAGTCGATTCAATATTGACAACCTTTTACCTAGTACGTTATCGTGTAAGAAACCGCCAATGTCATTCCATTCACGGTTGAAACTTGCCTCTGTTATCCAATATCTACTCGGGTCCCGCGAAAAATTGATTCTGCTGCGTTTTTTGTACACAGCAAAGTTTAAAAAAAACAAGACATATCACCCACCTGGAGATGGGAAAAAGCTTCGGACGGTATTTCCTTGCGATATAGAATGCAACATCATCAAGTTGTTATCTCGTGAATATGTTCTGTACAACTCTAACATGAAATCCGGAGGTTGCGGCATCATATCTCCATTTTGGTCTAACCAGGACGACTTGATATCTTTTTTGTTCACATAGTCGGTATGGGAATCGGTCAAATCAAGATCGACGTCTGCAGTACGTGGTTTCGCGTCGACAGGAGGCAATGTGGTTACTGGGATGTGGTCAAATCCAAACATATGTCTCATTGTATTTCGAAGAACTTCGTTGATGTCCGTTTCCCCACCTCTGTTTAGTTCATTATCTTTTCGTTTTCTGCCATTCCTTTTATTTCCTTTCTCACGTCGACCATGTTTAGATTTTTTCCGTTGTCGGTCTTTACGTCTCTGTACTGATCTCTGATTAGCATCTGTACTGGGATTTATTTGTGAGATAGGACTTGTTTCGATGGGAGATACACGTGAGGTAGCATTGCTAGTACGAATATTTTGATGTTCTGAAACTGAGAGTTCGTTTGAGTCCTTATGAAGCCTTCTTCCCTCTTTTCTTGTGTTTAATTCCCCATATGTCGTACCAAATAAAATAACGCAAATGCAAATCAAAAATAATATCGCAGGACTGCGTATGCTATGCGCACGTATCCCCTTCATTGTGCTGTTGTCCGTAGGAAATTCGAATATATAAGTATCCAAAATATTTTAATCAGTGAAATATTCTCCAAAAGTAAGAAAAGTATAGCATACTAAACTGTAAAAAAGTTGCTCATCATTAAAAATGTGGTAGGTTAAAAAAACTCAACAGTATTGTATTAAAACTACCCTTACGACTTTTTGAAGTTACTAATTAAATTTGCAACAGGGACTGACCACTGACTGATTTATTGTATTCATTTTCCGTGAAATATTTTACATTTAGTTTTTAGTATATTACTATCCAGATTTGATTTATTCACCATTATTTTATTTTTGGATTTCTGACCATACAGTGATCCATGCTAAGCTAAACTTCAATAGCGGTATTGCAATCAGTATTTCCTTTCTTGACGCAATAATGTTCTTATGTGCTCTAAAGTTATTGCTAAATACACACATTTTGCCTCCACGATGAACATATTACCTCTTTCATGCAATCTCGACTTGGCAATTTCGTTACTCAATCTGCGTTGTATAAATCATTGCCACATTCGACAAACACACTACCTCGTCAAATTGTTTGATCTGTTTTTAAAGGCTGACTTGTTCTGAACATATCTCAGCCGTAAATGGTGCTCGTTCGTACAGGTGCCTCGTAAACATTACAACAGCATCATTCTGAACTGTTTTTCGTATCGCAGGCTCGACGATACTTCTTCTTTTCCCGCAACACTAAGATCTCTTTTTCGTCGGTGATGAAGAATTTGGCCTGGTATTTATAGTGCCCTGCCGAGTATGGCAATTGAATGAAGCACTAGTGAACTGATAGAGCTAACTCCGTCCCGTAATATATTCGGGAATGGCATGTAATACGGCTATTTGATTCTTCATGTACCACAATTAGGAAGTCCTTGACCTACAATCGAGACAATATCCCATTATCCGAGTAAGCTATTATCACACAGCGTTCACACATTACAAGTTGTAATTAGACAAGCGTGCGGTCACGGTTCTTCCATTGATAAATCCGTGCACTTTAAAAATGCGACTGTTCCCATGCCCGGTCAAGGCGAACTAGCGTCATAACACCTGTAAGAATGCACGAAAGTTTAGACCTCTACCGAATTAATGATTCTGTTTGTAGAAAAAAGCTAATATTTGAAGGGAGAGATTACAATGAGCTCACATTATAACCACATTTCTCGCTTCGCGTTTTCTAATATATTTAGCAGCATTCAAAAGTTTATAGCAATAGGCAAGTGCAACTGTTTGCGCATACAAAATGCCCAATGATAAATTTTTAATGAAAGCAAAGTCGACACAGACGGGGAAATTGTGTCGCGGATGACTGACAGCAATGCGTGTTCGGTGATTGATGAAACGATGGATGCCGGTTGCTATCTTTTGTATGAACATATTTCACTGCCTATATACAGTACCACATGTATATTCAATTCTATAGAAGAAAAGGATAATTTTATCATTAAATAGTATTGGTCGAATGCATTGGTTACGCGGATAGCGAAATGCACAAAACGCCAAAATCGTACATCCAGAGAATAAGAAATCGTAAGTCGAAGATGAATTTTGCTTCAACTTAACGCAGTTACTTACTCAATTTAGGGATCAGGTCGTTGCCCTTGTCGCAATATTTTATGATCCTACAGCTTATAAATATATGCAAGTTTTTAGGTGTGGTTAATATAACATTACGCGGTTGACTGAAATGATGTCCTAATCAGTCTTTGATAAAAAAAATTTTAATCGCGGTTTAACTGTGACAAATGTGTAATGAAGGATTTACTTATTGAAAATTACAATATACAGTTTACATTAGCTAAGTAAGTTTAGTCCGTCATGTTACTTGAGTACAGGATGATCACCTGTTTTCGCAACAAGTAAGATAAGATTAACGGACGCAGGTGAAATAAATTAGCTCAGTCAACACATTCGTTGCCAATTACATCCACATTAGTCGTTTGTTCACACCTCACCTTTGCACTCTCTAATCGTTTGCTTTCTTCCGCTGCCTCTTCTCGTCGGTGAGTCGACTTTCATCCTGTCAGCGGGCACTTGATTTGGCAGTGTAGCATTTTCAATAAGCGCAGTGTAAGTAAACTGATAAAAAAAAAACTAAAGACAGTGTAAAATTACTGTGATTCAAACTTGGTCATTTTTGAATTGTTAAATTTAGATTAACAATATTTCTGTTATACACTTTAGTTCGAGCGCTAGATTTATAATGCCGGACGAAATTGTCGTATGTATCATGCTCGGCGAACATAGGCAATATGTGCACATATAGGCTATCGAAAATCTTCAAATACACAATAACAGCATAATATATAATTATTTTACTGATTTGCAACCACGTGATCAGCTAGTATCAATAAACCGGCCGTTGAGAGCTCACACAATATTTGCAGTCGATCGCAACTCGCTATACAAACGCAGCTTGCGATTGGGTGTCTAACTGACAGATTAGTCACATTTATCTGATAATCATTTTATCGTTATTACTTCATATAAAACCCAGTGCTTGCTGAATGTAATGCATTTGTTTTGTAAATTTTTCAAAAAAAAAGAGCCTATGGAATTTCATTACCACAACATTCAACAGGCTTATAGAAAATTATTACACAGCCAATTACAAGACGTGAAATTCACAACTAAAATTACATATATACATTTTAAATTTAACGGAATTTTTAAATCTATTCATAAATCTCAGAATCAATGCGTTGGCAAGCAGAAATGAAATATCATTCATAATTTCCTTGGCAAGATTTTGTAGTGTTAAAATAATGGCACATCGACAGCAAAAAAGGTTTGTTCGCAAAGTTACACCACATTTGAGAATAACTCACTTCATTTCAAAAGGTCAATATAAGTTCATGACTAGCATACGTTTCTTGCGCTTTTATCGAACAGTATGCGTTGAAGATGACATTTATCATAATATATACTAAACGCACCCACAAAAACGGATGTCGTTCTCTGATAACGCTCTCTGCCCAAAGATTTCAGAAATACAGTTAATAATATAAAAAGGACTGTAACAACAGTCGGTAAAGCATCTGCCATGTATATGTATGTAATGCACCAAACTCTCATAATTGATAAGACAATCAAACTTTCGTTAAAATACCGCACATTTCAAGAGATAAACATTGACATATATCTGGAATTAAATAAAAAGTAAACGTTGACAAAATGGATGACTTAATTCAAGTGATAGATTTACAGGCTTAGTTAGGTATTATATCGCAGAGATAATATAACAATAGTTAGTTGATTAATTGGGTTATTCGACATTTGGGCCTAAAATAAATATATTTTTGCATTTGCGCGTCGGGTTCGTGCACAAACCCGATATTAAATTATACAACCAAACGTCGCACGCACTAGATCGGTGCGAAGAAACGAAACAAATTATAATAAAATATGGACAGTCATATACAATGTTATTCAACAAACCGGCTAACATTTCACATCAAAGTTCCCTTAGCCTGCCTGACAGACTATGGTTAGCTTCGTTCCCCGTTTCTCTTATAAACACTATGTGACGCATGATTTTGTACAATTCGCATACTATTGTACTACGGACCAAGTGTAATTGTATTTTTACAAATACGAGTGTTCTAGCTATGGGCAACATCGAATGATGATAAGCTTTTCCATCCAAAAGTTTCCGCAAATATTTTACTGGTCCAATTATCCAGCTGGGATTTTTGGATTATTTTCGACAAATGGAATAATATTCATATAGCAGGTGCTTTCTACCTCCTGCAGTGAGCGAGTATAACCGGATCATCTGATAAGTACAACTCGGGTTGGTCTATGTTTATAATGGAATTGAGAAAGTGAATAAAAAGGAAGAGTGCTTTTTAATTTTCGATATGATGCGGCACATTGCTATGGTGAAAAATGGTATTGTAAATTAAACTATTGAATCTAAAACATAGCTTTGCAAACAAAGTGCAAAACGTGAAAACACTTCTATTTTGCAAAGAAAAAGTTTCGTTGCGGCTGCATTTTTCCATATTTGCTCATTTTGGTTCAACTCTCAAAAATGAATATAGTTTAAGAAAGCATTTATTTTCATAGCACTCTTCATTATTTGAAAATACAGGTCAATTATGTACATTATTTCAATGCGTACAAATACTTGTTATTGTGTTTTATCTCCATTGTGACAGAAAAATTCATTTTCACGAATATGATATGGGAATGACCGCATTCAATTCCATTTTAACACGACAATTGATCGTGTTTAGCGCGAAAACATGGGTCGACTTTTTATTATTTTATAGGCTTATGACGAGATAAACTGCGTCATATTACACAAAGGTGTGAAATTATCAAGATGAACATCTTTCAATTTGCGAATTTGATGCGACAGTTTCAATTTTATCGCACCTCGGGCAATGGGTCAATTACAATTCAAATTCAATACTTTGTAATAAAACGCCTAATAGGAACCGTATTTCATAAAAATTCAATATTTCTACTATATGCTTTGCACACGGGGGTAAACCATCGCAAGACAATGCAGCTACTGAAGAATCAGTCAGAAACGGATTATAGACACTCAAGTTCTACTGAAGCAAAGAAAAATTGATGACTTCAAATTGTTATTAAAGTACGGGTTTTTAGGTGAAACTTAATTTCCCTGCAAAATTTTCACTTAACTATTTATATTTCTATGTTACGCACAAATGCTGCGATACGTTTTATATGGATGTCGGTATTGGTATTTGGTGAGCAAATGTCGAAAATTTGTACAACCGAAATACACATGTTCTAGCCCAGTCGTCCAGTCGTAGGGTGACCATACGTCCTCCTTTTGGAGGATGTGTCCTCCTTTTCCGTTAAAACATTTGTGTCCTCCGAGGACGCTCTAAAATGTCAAAATGTCCTCCCTTTTTCACGGGATTAAATATTTGGAATTCTCCTATATTATCGAAAGTTTTTGATATGTTAAGAAAATTCCAAAGTCAGTAGAGACTTGTAATTATCATTATACACATGACAAGCAATGCATTGCAATAGCAGAGAATGACTCTGGTGATAGCATGCAGACGGGTTTACTCTAATTAAATGCACACTTCTCATGCTTACTCGTTTACTACGTAAA